GGGGGGGCGATTATGGGGGTTCAGGGGCGCCCGCGCGGCTACCCTCCCGGTGCTTGAGCGATGGCTGCTGGGTCGGGAGCAGGCGTGGTTCTCCTTCCCGACGTAATCTTTTATGCTTTTAATGATTTACCTTGTAAAACTCAGCGCAGAAGGAAAACAAATCTTGTTTTGCAGCCCCCTCTCCCTTGGTAACTCCGCGTGCGGTCTGAGGCTCCTTCCAGGCCTTCTGTAGAACACACACACACACACACACACACACACACACACACCACGGTACACTCACAGACATGCCTGCACGCATGCCGTGTGCACAGCACAGTGACGCGCACACACCCTGTGGACTTCGTTATAGAACCGCGCTGCCCTGTGTATTTCTGCAGCTGGGCTGCAGCCGCTGATTCCTTACTGTCTTGTTTTTCAGGTTTTGTCCTTGGAGCACGGGAGCCCAGTGCCGGCCGCCCCTGGGACCCACACTGTATGCAGCCTCCGCGATCTGCCGATCTGCAGCCGCAGGCTGAGGCCCCTGATCAGTGGGGCAAGTCCAGACACCATAAGCAGCTCAGCCCATTGTGAGTCCCAAACCCGACTGGAGGGACAGGGCAGGTGGGGGGTCTGGACCGAAGCTCAGGTGCTGAGCCGGCCACCTGCTAATCTTGGGCTTAGTATAGTCAAGTTCAGGCCTGGTGACCTGGCCTCAAAAGCATTCCATAGTCTTCATTTGAACAAATTGACCTAAATCCCTCACGCCCAGGGCCTTTACACTGAGCTACATCCTTGACTTCCTGCATTTTTTAAACATCAAAACAGGGTCTCACTAAGTCATTAAATTGCCCAGGCTGGGCTTGAACTCGAGATCCTCCTGCATCAGCCTCCTAGAGTGCTGAGACTGCAGATGTGTGCTATCACCTCCGCTCTGGGGTCTCCTTTCTAAGTCACAGCTGCCCTGGTCTGTGAGCCAGTCCTCCAGCTGGTACCACCAGAGTATGACCTCTGATCTGGCCACTTCCTGTCACCCCTTCCTTTGGTTGCTGGCTAGATTAGTGTAGGGCAGGCTGGCAAGGCGCGGGGTAGTAGAGGCAAATCCAGTGGTCTGGGCTTTGGCATTTGTCACACCAGCTTGGGACAGTGGCTTCTGTGGGGATTGGGTCCCTGTGGTGAAGGCTGGTGAGACATCCTGACCACCATAGTCAGACTGCAGCCCCGGGTTGTGTTGTGCACAGTGTGTGTGCATGTGTGTGCGTATGTGTGCAAAACCAAGTTTAAACTCAGAGGCCCCAGCCCTTGTGGGATTTATAGATTTACACGGATAGGGGAGACATTATGAAGGGGTCTCATATAAAATGAGCCAGGAACTTAAGCGCACGCCTGTATTCCCAGCACTTGGAGGCTGAGGCAGGAGGATCACCATGAGATGGAGGCCAGCCAGGCTACATAGCGAGACCTTGCCTCAAAAAACAAACACCACAAGCAAGAGCATGAGTCTTTGTATATAGGTGGAGATGAGACACATCCCTCTCTAAAAATGTATAAAGAAAGGTGTGATGCTGATGAGTGCCTTGAACAGCAGTCATCAGCAGGACTAGAATGTCAGAGGACTGGGAGGAGGCAACTATTTCCTAATGAAGCCAGCAGTGTGTCAGGGAGCTGACAATTTATCGAGTGCCTTTTCCGGAAACACAGCGTTGTTTATCCAGAGAGACAAAGGCCTTCTTGTTACTGTCGTAGTTACTTTTCTCCCTGCTGAGACAAAGGACCCAGACACCCAGAGTTAAAGGGGGACAGGTTTATTAGGTTCACAGTGTGTAGAGGTTTCACTCCGTGGTCTGCTGGCTCCAGGGCAGTAGGCGACAAGCCAGCCCGAACTGCAGCTCTTCTGTCCCTCGAATCTTGCCCAGGCCACCTGCCCTCAGTGCTGGCAGCGCTCACAGCCTTAATCCACCCATATCACCTCAATCCCAGCAGCACATACCCTAGATCCCACCACCCCCAAAAAGCCCCACCTGTGACCGCATGAGGCTTGAGGGGGGGACTAGGCACAAGCCATGAGAGTTGCTTTGGTATTTCTTTTACATTTTTGTTTTATTTTACTTCTTGTGTGATCCTGACGTTGGCCTCTGTCAGTACCTTGGTAACTTGCTGGGAATCAGGGGGATCCTGGTGGGTTTGATTGAGATGCTGGGGATCCTGGGGGACAAGAGGGTCCCAGGGTCCCTTACTCCAAAGAGGCAGTGTTGAGACTGAGGACCAGCAGTCTGCAGCAAATGTAGAGATGAGGCGTTTCCTCATCACAGGGGCCAGGGTCCCCTGTGAACCAGGTCTGTGCACAGCAGGATGCCTGGTGTGGGAGGCCCCGGTTGTGGGGCAGGTGGACCAGTAAGAGCTTGGTGGGAAGGCTGGAGCACAGCTGCCAGGGGTCCTGGTGCTGGAGCAGAGGCTATTGAAATAGGCCTTGTGTGGTGCCTCAGGCTTGTGATCCCAGCATAAGGGAGGATGAGGCAGGAGGATCACAAGCTCCAGGTCAGCTTGGGCTACTTAGCAAGGCATAGATTACACAGTAAGACCTTCTCTGAAAACAGAAAAGGGCTACAGTGTAGCTCAGTGGTAGAGCACTTGCCTGGCATGTAAGAGGTCCTGGGTTCCATCCCCAGGACTGAAAAAAGCAAAACAAAAAAAAAGCTGAATGCATCTTATATGTCTACTAGCGCTCGGCTGGCTGGGGTAGTCATTCTGTCCTACTGCATGTAGGACCTCGGTGGGCCTCATGAGGGACCTGCCGCATGACCACTGAGGGTGGCGTAAACCACCACACGGAGCTCTTTATTTTCCCCAGGTTTGAGGGTGGGAAAGAAAAAATACTGCATGTGGTGGAGCAGACCTCTCATACCAGCACTTGGGAGGCTGAGGCAGGAGAATCACCGAGAGTTCAAGGCCAGCCTGGGTTGCATAATATTTCAAAAAAACAGGAAGAGAGGGCCAGGGATTTAGCACCATGGCTCTGCTGCCTGCCTGGCAAGGGCAAGGTCCAAGTTCAACCCCCGTACCAAAAAAAAAAAAAAGGAAGAAAGGAAGGGAAGGAGGGAGGAAGGGAGGCAAAGGACTGGAGGAGAGTCATAGGTGGGCTGTTAAATGCCCAATGGGATTACTGCCCTCTCGCCAGGTCTTGATATAACCAGTTTTACCCCTGGAAGGCCCAGCGTTTGTTGCTTGTTTTGCATTGTGGGGGACGGAGCTCAGCCCACACTTCCAGGCAAGCACCACATCCAGCCCAAAGGCCTGGGGAGTCTCACACTGCAACGTGGGGCCCTGCTGTGTGGAACCCAGTGTGCACCCCAGAGACCTGTCAGGGTGTCCATGCCCAGTGTCTACACGTCTTTTCTTTCTTTTGGTGGCACTGGGGACTGAACACAGGGCACTTTCCCACTGAGCTACCTCCCAGCACCTGTATGGTTTTATTTTGATACCAACTCTCACTGAGTTTCCTAGGCAACTTGTATTTGAGATCCTCTGGCCTCAGTCTTGCCAAACGCTGGTATATGGCACCGGCTCGTGTTGGATCTTCTAAGGCAGCCAGCAGATTCTGTAACTGAGAGATTCTGAAAGGGATGCAGTTGAGCTGAGGTCTCTCTTTCCTTCTTTTTTGTATTAAGTCACTTCCCTGAGACTGTAGGGGCACGGTGTCTGTGTCTGGCGAGCCCCTAAGGACCCCAGTATGGAGTGAGGTCAGGGAGTTCCGTCAGGTTGGTGCGTTTCACCAAGTGTGGATCCTGTCACAGCTGCAAAAGCCGATTGATGCCCTTTCAGCTCTTTGTTCTGTAAATCCTCTCAGTGTATGAATTGTATTATGTGTTACATACATCAGTATTCTCCAGGCTCCCTGAGTCTGGGAACCCCCAGAAATAGCACCTTCCTGGGCTCTTGGGCCCCTGATCCACTGCCCAGCCCTCTGGGGCCTTGAGCAGGGCTCCAGGGAACTGTCCTCTCTCCATTTCTTCTTTTTCTTTCTCTACTGAGGATTGACCCCAGGGCCTGCTCACTGAGCTGCATCCCCAGCCCTTTTTAATTTTTATTTTGAGACAAGGTCTCTTTGAGCCACTAAGTTGCCCAGGCTGGACTTGAGCTTGTGATCCTCCTGCCTCAGCCTCCCGGAGTGCTGGAACGACAGATGTGCACTGCCATGCCTGCTCCCCCTCTTCCTTTTTAGTGGACACTGGACCTCTGGTCTCCATGGGGTCTGGACCAACAGGCATAAAACCACAGCCCGAGGCCTCATGTAGAGTGAAGGGACCGTCCCAACTGGAGCCAACTGCAGCCCGAGGCATGGCCTGGCCCCTGATGGGACCCTGGCATCGGTGGGACGGTCCTCGGGAGGCAGAGGCAGGTAGGGGCTGTGGATCCTTATTTGCAGGGGCAAAGCATTTGGCTGGGCCTGGGGAATGCCCCATGTGTTGAAGCCCAGGGTACATGGAAAAGAAGGTGACTTCATACGCCCTTCTATTGCAGGCAGCAGGAGCTGTGTTTGTTTCTTTGTCCAAGATGATGTTTCGCTATGTTGTGTGCTGGCCCCAAACTCCTGGGCTCAGGTGATCCTCCTGCCTCAGCCTCTCGAGGAGCATGGACTACAATACTCTTCAGCAATTCCACTTTTACTGCTTCAGCACACTGAGGTACTTGGACACACGGCCAGCTGTCCACCCATCATCCAGCTGCTGCTCTGCCTGCTGGCCCACAAGTCTTGGGTGGACACACATGTCCCTTCTCATGCTTACAGACCCAGGAGAGAGATTCCTGGTCACAAGGTAGAAGCACAGCCATTTCCCAAGCGGCTGAGTCAGGATTTAGCGCTGTTCCACTCTGAGAGCCGCCATCTCTGTGTGCTGGGGAAGCCTTGTCACTCACTCACTGGAGTCATGGGGTCTTTTACAGTTATTTGACATGACCATCGCTCCTAAGCCAGGCTGGCCTCAGAGCTCCAAGCCCCTGGCCTCTGAGGCAGCTGAGATCACAGGCGTGCACCACTGCGCCCACAAAGTCACTCATTCTCCCCTGAGCAGAGAGCAGATTGTTACTAAGAGCATCTTGGCAGAAACTGTGGGTGTCAGGATCCCTGGGAGGCCCCTGAGCCAATCCACCAGGAGCGCTTCCACACCGAATGCTCTTCAGCCTCAGCCACACCAGAGAGCAATGCTCCAATTACAGCAGCGCCAGTGTCACAACGTGGGGGCTGAAACATCATAACAAAATGTGTGAATCACATGCTGCACATGAGGGCCCGGCCCATCAAGTTACATGCAGGTGCAGCACGGAATGCTGGATGATGCACTGTGAGTTCCAAACCCTGCCACATTCTTTCAGGGTGACTCCTTGGCAAAGTGTTCCTGGAAGGCAGGTGGGAGTGGCCTTGCATGTCCTGTGTTTCCGGTTCTGGTTCCGGTTCCACTTGATGGAGATGTGCCTGGGGACCTCTGGGCCAGTGTCTCTCTGGGGAGCACTTCCTGGCCTGCCTCAATCCCCATCCCTGAAAACGAACAAAACCAAAAGCCCAAAACTTTCTGGACTCTTTTTCTATGTATGCATTATCTTTCTGTCTCTTAAATTTATTGGTACATTTTAGGTATACATTTTGATCACCTTCATCATTGAGAATTTTGGGGGGGTTTGGCAGTACTGGGGACTGAACTCACCACCTTTGTTCGGAGTGACATCCCTAGTCCTTTTCAATATTTTAAAAATTTTTAGACAGGGTCTTGTTAAATTGCTGTTATACAGGCTGATCTGGAACTTGAGATCCTCCTGTCTAAACCTCCTGAGTGCTGGCATCATGGGACACAATGACCACTTTAACCTTTTATTTTATTTGTTTGAGATGGGGTCTCATATGCAGTTCAGGCTGGACTTGAACTCACTGTGTAGCCCAGGCTGGCCTCAGACTTGTAATCCTCCTGTCCCAGCCTCCTGAGTGCTGGGATTACAGGTGTGCACCACTATGACTGACCCAACTTTAATTTTAAAATAAACTTTGCTTTTAGGATCTGTTTTAGATTACATGAAAATGGCGAGGAAGTATAGAAAGTTCATGTCCATCCCACACCCAGCTTCTCTTACTGGAATGGAATGGAATGGTACAGTCCTTGTAATCATTGAGTAGCTGTTGCCAGGTGGGATGGCACAGGCCTGCAATCCCAGCTACTTAGGAGGCTGAAGCAGGAGGATTGAAGCCTCCAATTCAGTGAGGCTGCCTGAAAAGAAAATTAGAAAAACAAGAAAAGGACTGGGATGTAGTTCAGTGCTAGACCACCTGTTCAGCATGAATGAGGCCCTGGGTCCAATTCCCAGCACTGGGAAAACAAGACCCCACTATTGATTCATTATTATTATGATTATTATTATTGAAACAGGGTCTCACTGTGTAGTTCAGGCTGGTTTTGAACTCACTGTGTAGCCCAGGCTGGCCTTGAACTTTCAGCGATCCTCCTGCCTCAGCCTGTTGGGATCACAGACTACACCACCATATGCGGCTGATACATTATTATGAAGTGAAGCCCATCCTTGGTCCGGATATCGCGCGTCCCCGTGTCCTTTTGCTCTCCAGGACCCTCAGGACCATGTCACTAGCGAATGTGCTTTTGCTGCCCCTCTCAGGACAGGGGCCGGTGGGGCAGGTCAGGTTCCTCTCTGAGTCAGATCTCTGCTGGGAACAAGCCTCGGGCCACCGGGGCCCATGGACTCTCACCCGAGCTCTCACCCCACTCCCTGTTCCTTCAGGCCTCAGTTTCCTTTCTGTAAAGGAGTGTGGGGCCAGTGTCCTCTGGGTGACACGGGGTGGTTTTCAGACTTCTGACCCGGAGATGGGCTGGGCCCAGGTCAGAAGTTCCTTCTGGACCTCAGCTGTGCCAAGGCCTGTCTCCTGTCCCCGCACGTGGTACCCAGTCACATCCCCATCTGTGCCCCGACTGAGATCTCCAGCTCTGAAGGCGGGGCGGCTGATTCACCTCCCCGAGGTCGCTGCTCAGGCATCGCAGTGTGCAGCGGGCAGAAAAGGCCGCAGTCCGAGCTCCTTCGCCTGGCGTCCCGGCCACCCTTGTCCTCCCAGGAGTCGGGGCGGTTCCCAGATGCAAAGGGTGTGGATGTGGGGAGGGGACGCGGGACTCGGGGTCCTGAACACCACTGCAGCTGCGACCTTCGGAGATCCCGGGGCTCCGCCCCAGACGCAGCCCCGCCCACCGAGGCCCCGCCCCCGAGCC